TTGTCTTGGATATTTACATACATACATACATATATCATCTAAACCGCTTATCCTCCTGGGTCGCGGTGGGGTGCTGGAGCCTATCCCAGCTGTCATTGGGCGGAAGGCAGGATGGCTTGGATGTTTAGTCTTAGGAAAAAAAACAAACTGGTATATAACTTTTACATTATGCTGAGGATCTTTAGACATTTGGCATTGTGCATGGTGGTCTTAGGCTTGTTTAAGGGAACTTGGCCATGGAAACCCTGTCCATGAAGCTTCTGATGAAAAGTTCTTGTGCTGATGTTGCTTCCAGTTTGGAACACTGTATTGAGTCTTGCAACTGAAGACCAAATGATTTTACATGCTCAATACTTCATCACACGACAGTCCATCCTGCGAGCTTCACAGCTGGGCTGTTAGTGCTCCTAGACACCTCAAAATAACAGCACTTACAGTTGACTGGGGCAGCTCTAGCTAGACAGAAATTTGCCTAACTTAGTAAGGTGGCATCCTGTGACAATGACACATCAATAAGTTCTTCGAATGACCCGTTCTACTGCCAATGATTGTCTATAGACATTGCATGGCTTGGGTTTTATGCACCTATTGGTGATGAGTGTGGCTGAAATAGCCAAACCCATTAACTAAAAATGGTGTTCACATACTTTTGGCCATGTACTGTGTGCATGACCCAGAGAAGTAAATGAAAAGACTACATTGGAGGGGATGAGAACATAGGGAAAGATAAAGAAAGAAATAAGAGTGATGTCAATTCAAGTGGGGAGGCTGTATGTGTAATCTGAGCAGCAAGGGTCATGGCTGCAGTGTCTATATGTGTTTAGAGCCACCGGGCCTCTGATTACCACCCTGCAAATCTGCACACTGTCATTTTGGACATACACTACACACCTACACCAACACACAAATGCATGGGCTCACTTTTTCTAGAGCTTTCAAGGGGAACTTCTCAGTGTGTGTTAAATAGTTTGCGTCTGTGTCTCTCCTCCCCCTGGCTCTCTCTGGAGCAGGTGAGTGGTGCTGACAGTGGGACCTGTACAGCTTCAAAAGCTGCTTTCTTTCTCTGCAGCCAAGCTCAGCTGTAATTAGGAGGCCTTCCTGCCCTGGGCGCCTTCATAAGCACAGAGACGGGCCCGTGGAGAGCTGTCTCTAACTCTCTTTCTCTTTCTCTCTCTCCCCTTGAACCCCGCCCCTTTCTTTTTCTCTCATTCTCTCCACCCTATGGCTAGCTAACTGGCCAGCCTTGTTTTTTCAGCCATGTGTTGCCTGGGTGGAGGCCCAGGGTCAAGTTAAACTGTTTTATACTGCTGGTTTCTGCCACTGTAATGCTAATGCTAGTTACCCTGCTGCTAAATTCCACATACGTCATTACAGTATTGCAAAAGAACTGACAAAGCGCTAGTTGCATTACATCTGCTACAGAGCGAAAAACAGGGTCAGACTTGGAATATTAAGTTAAATTCTGTAGAACCTTTTTTTATTTTCTCAACTTACTTTAGTCAAAAATTTTGCTTTAAAAAAACTAGTACTGCATCCTAGGTTACATCACTAAAATGCAGCAAAATACAACTTGAGCTTACTCAAAAAACAAGCAGTCAGTGTGAATGCCTCCAAATGTTTTGGTGGATTTTGACTCAATTTCTCCCACAATTTAGTCATGCTAATTCCCACCCACTGGGTACAATTTCCCCTATCACACAGCGCCTGCAGCATGGGGGAGATGAGGTCTTCCTGCTCTCAGACTTCCGACCATGGAGGGCTGTGGTGTCACCAAGATTCGCACTCATGATCTCTTGATGAGTAGGCAGTTAGACAGTTGCACCACTCAGGAGCCACACAGTGTTCAAGTAGGAATGAAAAGGTGAATTAACTCAGAGCAGTGTGACTTGTGCTTAAATAGTTGCTCATGCTCAGATAAAGAGCTCTGTATGTACTTATATAAAGAACAGTTACCTGTCACATGGATATCTAACTGCCTGATCATCAGGAGCCAAGAGATTGTGAATTTGAAACCTGGTAATACCTCAGCTCTCTGCGGTCAGAAGCCTGAGAGGAGGCAGCCTTCACACCTATCACAATCTGTGGGTGATGATCAGGCAATGACAAAACTTAGGGAACAAATGAGGAAGAATAAAACAAAAATACAAGCAATTTCAGCTTATAAGTAGGCAACCACATTTATTGTTTATTCTGAGTAAATGCAACTTAAACTGTATTTTGTAGACCTACAGCATTTTCCACCGGGCAATGCACTACAGTGTGCGATCATGCATTTTGTTAAGCTGTACCATACTGGAGTACCTTTGCTGAATTTGGTTGCCCACAGAGGTTGACTTAAATGCAGAAGGTTGACTTAAAATTTTAAGTTAACCTGTTTTTTAATTTTTACATTGCATGACATACATTAGTGTGGGTTACTTAAGAATGCGAAGGCTTAGGCGAGGTACAGGCTAGTTCTTTTAGACACTGGTGAGGTACATGTTTGTGCAGACAAATATGTGGCCAAAATATGGCTGAAATATGACTGAAAGTGTGTCAATTTGAAGTTCAAATTCTGTGTTCATGAGTCTATTTGAGAGAGAGAGAGAGAGAGAAAGAGAGAGAGAGAGAAAGAGAGAGGCAGAAAGAGAAGGGGAGCTGTTTCAATCATGTAGTTAGCATGTCACACGAGTTTGTGAGGGGGCCCTAGCATGGATTGTGATGGATTGGAGTGCTGGACACAAATGACAATATGTCAGAATGCTAATGACTTTGTGTGTATATGCATGCATGTACGTTTGTGTGCACGTCAGCAGTGCAATTGCCGCCATTTAGCCTGTATAAATACATGTATTTGTTCAGGTGAGGAAAGTTTCCCCCTTTTGCCCCTCACCCTCCTCCTCCCTGCTGTCCGTCACCTCTCTCCTCTGGCCTTAATGACATTTGGCATCTCCAGACATTGATTATTCGGGCTTGCTAAACACATTCCTGTTATAAAATTAGCATGCATGCTAAAATCTAAGCATCCACGCAGCCTGTTGCCTAATGAACTGTAATTGTATTGCCTGTAGCAGGGCAGCTGTAAAGCTTTGGTTTTACCAGCCAAATAATTGATGGCAGTTGCTTAAATGACATCATCTGAGCGCCTGTGCTCTATAGTGCAGCTTAAGCAGGGCAAGACGTGCCAGAAGGATTCGATGTGATTGATTCTAAAGTATAGGCTGTGCAGAAGCCTGCTTTGAGTGGCTTACTGATGTGGGGAGCTAAGTGGAATGGTCTGCCAGTCAGAAGGAAAGCGAAAGAAAGATGCTAGCAATCCGAGGTCACACTCTATTGCTTAACATATCTGTGGAATCAGATTAAAAACATCATTTCTGAGGCTTGCAATGTGTCTTATCAGCATGTTGTGCTGATTGCACCAAGAGCATGTGCCCATAGCTGTTTCAGTGCATGTAGGAAAGGGATTAGGGCCAACCTGCTATAGTTTCATAAATAAAATTACACTAAAAGTTCACAATAATAGTCCAAGTTTGTTTGGATTTTTTGGATTATATACTGAATTTGCTTGATGATAGCCTAGAAGATGTACATCCCTTCACATCTGAAAAATAAAGAATCCTAAATTGTTCTTGGCTTGAACATATGGTTCTAGGAAAAAATATCAACTGTTATTGAACCTTTATTATGTGGAGATTCTTTAAACTTTTAAAATGGTTTTTCACACTCGCAGATCTCATTTTACAAAGTTGTGCTTTAAAGAACCAAACTTTTCTAATTGGGAATCAAAAGTGGATATTCTGTAGCATTGCTCAAAAGAATGCTTTTTGGTACTTTTATTTTTAAGATTGTAGTTTCAAATTTTGTTGGCTGTCTTGAGATAAAGTGCTTTTAGCCCAAAATAATGCTTAATCAAATAAGTATTATTAATTAATTAGGTCTAGGGTAGACATAGGCTTTTGAGCTAGGCTTACATTCAGGACATCACCAGTCAAATGACCTGTTTTGTTTTGTTTTTCTTTTGTTTGTTCATTTGTTTGTTTTTTTCCTTAACTCCAGTTATCACATATATTGAGCTAGTCAGAAGAACAAAATTAGTTTCCAGATTTTTCCTTGATGCTCTCCAGTCATTGCATAGCTTTGTTCAGCTCCATCAGCAGCACACCTGATTCAATTAATGAAGGATTGATTAGCCAAACCAGATACTGGATGATAACTATAAATAACACTGGTCTTCATCAAGGAGAGATTTGGAGATGGTTAAGCGAATGTGTCCACACACTTAAAATCACAATGCGTTAGTGTTTGTTTGAAAACTGACCAGATCCTTACTGCTTTACATGTTTTCTCAGATGCCTAAGACTTTTGCACAGTACTGTATATGTAAGAATAGAAACATATGAAAGTAGAAAAAATAATATGCATTATGTAAATAAATGGACATTCTGAAACTTTCTCATACGCGTGGAGACCATGTCATGAGGAAACAGTGGAGCAGAATGATGTATCATAAATATCATATCATTTTTAGCACCTTAAACCGCAAACCACACCACATTAGTTTATGAGCTAAAGATAGGGAGCGGCAGGCTACCTCTAAACAATCAACAATTCAAGACCTCAAGAATTGACGAGAGACCTCAAGAATTGTAATTGACAGCAAAACATACTTTGTTATTATGACTCCGATTAAATGTGTAGCTTTTGAGTGTGGGTTAAAGTAACAGTGCTGTCTCCAAGACACTACAGTGGAAATCAACATTTACCATCACAGCTTACAGTTGAATGAGAAGTTGCTGGACAGAGGATTGTGACACAGTGAGGGAGTGGAAGTGGAGGGAGTGACTTCTTAGAAAGACCAACAAAAATGGGAACTCGCACTTACTGTGAAAATATGTTCTAAAGTCCCTTACGTTAACGGAAGTTTACATCATTGGCATCTATTAAGAGAGACAATAAATATGTCTTTTGTAGCATCATCTCACACCTCTGTACATCTGTCTGTCTGTCTGTCTCTGTTTCAGCCCAGTCCCTGGTTCTCTGTCATCGCTGCTGCACTTGAGAAACAGACAGCGACAGCCTCTGCCTGCCTCCATGCCTGGCACACTGCCAGACCCCACCATGCAGGGATCCTCCGCTGTGCTCATGCCCGTTAGTACACAAACGCACATTCACTCACATCACCATTCAGTAGTTTGGAGTCGCTTCTCATTGTCATTTCTCTTGTTTAATAACATATACACTGTATATCTCTCTTTTGTCTTGTTAAAATATACACTGTGAATCGTCACTGTCCAAAAAACAATGTTTCTCCAAATGGTAACTTTACAAGAGCAGACAAAAACATAACTATTAATGTACATTGCAAAAAATATAAGTGTTTAACAGGTTATTCCTATGTATAATTTAAACAGATTTTTTCAGTTTCTGCGTTTCACTGTTACTTTTTATCTCCATGCTAAAGTGTAGGACGAGATGCATTTAACGTATTTTTGTGTTCAAATTTATCAGTACAGCTTGTCTTGTAGTGATAAAAGTAATCAGGTGGTGGCTTTAGGCTTAGCAGTTCCTAACTGGGCTCTCAGTAAGCAAACTTGTAAGGTTTTGCTCTATTGTCAAGATATCACAGGTTTGAATCCTGCTGATGCCACAGCCCAAAAAAGCCACTGATTATTGGCATATTATCAACAATGATGCCAGCCAACTGACATATTGGTTGGGTTTTAGTAGAGGATATAAGAGATTTTTCTTTTTTTAGTTGAAGGAAATGTATATGTTTTTGTACAGAAAAGACTGTAAAATTACAGGATGTTCCATATTAGAGGTGAAGGAATAGTCCTGTATTAACACAGAATATGTACTGTAATTTAACAGAATTTTCCATTAAATTAGTGATGGAATTGTCTGTTCATTTTATGGAAAATGTATTTTTTATAGTTATACGTGGATACATGGGTTTGTTTTAGACAATGCAGTGTTCCAGTCGCATGCAAAAGTTTGGACATCCAGATCAAATTACATGTTTGGATGATAATCTAAGTAAAAATAAATTAAAATATCCTTCATGTCCTCCACAGAGACGACACTGAAATATGATACTTTACTGCATATTCTTGTGCACAGTTTCCATTTATTTGCTGAGCTTAACATTTTGGAAAAGAATAAAACTTGGAAATGTGCAGACGTGTGTTCACTGTAGAAGATTTGTTAACTTATTTTAACTTAGAAAATCAACAAATTTTTGTCATTTGACCAGGGGTGCCCATACCTTTGCATACAACTGTATATACTGCTATATGTTACAATATGAAATTCTAGAATTATCTGTTTTGTCAAGTTATTTACTTCAAGATTTGGTCAGCGCTTTTGAATCAAGCAAGTTTAATGCGTCACTTATATTTTACTTCCTACAGAAAGTTACTTTCTGTAATACATTTTGAATAATTTATATTTGTTTTGTTAAACCATGTCGTACCGCTTTCTCAGTCATTTAGAATCATTTCCAGCTCAATTTGTCATTCTGGACACATTTAAAGTTTCTAAAACATTTTTCCATCTTCCTACTATTTATTAATTGTCAACTAAAACCTAAAAGTTATGAAGTTGCATAATTTGAAACCTATATAGTTTCAAATTATCATCATATTACAATTATTTTATGATTCTAACATTTTGAATGGTGAACTTTTGAACAGCAGCATAGATAGGTCTATGTACACAAAGCCACATTCACATATTGACACATATGGTCTGTCACAGTCAGACGTGTTAAAATATAATTCAACCAAAGTGTTAGTGTGTGTTAGTGAATCACACCTGCTACCTTCCAAATAGCATATCTGTACTAATACACTGGTTTCTAACTTCATTCCTTAATATCAAGGTGACACAGATATGATTCTTCTCACATTTATTCTAGCTATTGGTATCACTACCTTTGTGATCTAATTGTTCCAATTAAAATAGACATTATTAATTCAGAAGGTGATTTTTTAAAATGGCATGATTAAAGCTTCCATGCACAAATATAAACATACAAACGCATACCATTCTCTCAGTCTTTTTTCAAGGCTGTAAAAGATTTGAGGCTCTTTTTCCCAGGGCCTTGCACATATCAGTGACTGTTTTTAAGAGGAAGCTCTCATGGAGTATAGATTTCTACCCCAGCAGCTCCTATATTAATTCTTTTCTAGTAAAGTCAATAAAAGTTGGATGTACATGTAGTGCTAGAGCGAGAGTCTGTGTGTGAAAGTGCTGAATGTGCCCGTATCATGGCTCTAATGACACATGTTCTCATTGTAATTGAAGACAGCCCATTCTGACAGAAGGGGAGGATAAAATCTTAGAGCTAATTGAATTAAACCGGGACAGTTTTTCAGCCCAAGACTGACATCCCAGGAAAGGGGTGCAGTGCAGGGAAGATATTTTTATACCAAATACTCCTCCAGTCATTACTACAGGCCACCCAAGCCAGGATAATGGGGACTGGAGGAGGTTGCGAGGGGGTTGAACTGAAAAGGAGGGAGGAGAGGGGAGCTCGCTCACACACACGTACAAACGCACGTTTATACAATGTCAGGACCTTTAAATACAACTTATTCATTTTTTTAGCATTAGGAAAAATCTGAACATACGTATAACAGAAAATTACACAGTTAACAGAAAATTACACAGAAGCCTTAACAAGTAAACATAATATCTTATCTGAAGAAATCTGCAGGGATATTCTTTTCAAATCCTCCAAAGTTCAGTCGTAGGAGTTGGTTGCATTTTCTGCTTCTCACGATCTAAGTTATCTCAATTCAAATTTAGACTCATCAGTCCATAAAACCACATCTCAGACGTCTAGTTTCGGTGGTACAGGGCAAAGTTCTTTCTTTTTGTTTATTTCCTTCTGTCAGTAACAGCTTCCTTACACCTACACATTCTTTCAGACCCATAGAGTTCAGTTATCTTCTCACAGTGGGAGGACAGACAGAAACACTTGTGGATTTTTTTCAGATCTGAAGCAAGAGTGGAGTTTGATTCTTATTTTAACTGGAAATAAAATAAAGTAAAAGATGGTCTCTAACTTTTGCACAGCACTGTATGCAAATATGTATGTGTATCTTACATGTATTACATATATGTTGTTACCTATATATAATAAAACTTTTTTCTAACCCGTTAATCCTAACATCCGCAATGGTTTTCTCTTTAACATTTTAAAAATGACTTGTGTCTTTTCTAAAAATAAATTTAAAAAATGTATATTTAAAAAACACTTATTTAAAAAACATATTTAAAAAACACAAAAAAATACTTTACAAAAGTTAGCCCTGTTTCTCTGGTTTTCCTAGAAAGTCAGAACGTTTTCGTCCTACAAGAGTAAGAAACACACACACACACACACAGACACCCACACAAACACACACACACACACACACATACACACAAACACACATGCACCCTTAGTGGACTCACAATTAACTTAACTGTTCACACCCATAAGCTGCCCTACACCACCACCAGACCACATCATGCACCTCAGGCTCGTGCAAAAGCCAGAAGACCAGGTGCTATTTTGTGCCTCACACCCCTACAGCATCAAACTTCCTGTGCTATTTTCCCTTTGACTGCTGCTCTGTTCACATAGCCCAAGTGGTGTGAAATCAAGAACACGCTATATGCACCCTCACATGCACACACACACACACACACACACACACACAATATGTAGACTTCGAATAGCTCAAGACATTCACATGATCCAGCAAATGTAAATCTTGATCAAAAATAATGCAGGCTGAGTTTTAGCCAGGTCACGTCAAAGGTTCATTTGTGTGCTTTTAATTTATTGCAAGGTGTTTTATGATTGCAGTATGTAACAGTTTAATCACAACATGATATGTTCTCCAAATATCGTACAGCCCTGATACATGACACACAGACACATAAACACATGCGAATCTCATAGATGCCTGTCCTTAATCATGCTTTGCAAAAATTATTCATAGCAGCTCCATTCCATTTCAGTATTAAAACTTTGCCTGCATTCTAAAAATGTGTGACATTAGCCTCACTTAGATGGATATGAGATAAGCACTGACAGGTGTTATATGTGACCTGTGTTCATGTTGTTCTGTTTTATTGTTCACACAGATGGAGAGACAAATGTCCATGGGCTCCAACATGATGGGCATGCAAGGCCCCACCCACAGCAGCTCCTGCTCCTCCCCTCACGTCCCTTCCATGCACTCAGAGGCAAAGCTGGTCAGTGATTCAATTCATGCATGCAAACTTACACACATACATGTATGCAAAACACACAGAGCCTTTCCTTTTTGCCATTTGTACCGAAAAAGATCCACTTCTTGAAGTTGAGTTGAGGTCTTGAAGGGCTTTGATTTACCATAAGTATACATATACTGTTGATGGCTATGTTGCCTGATCTTCATGCAAAGAGCACATACCAGTGTTTCTACAACTTGTTAGCACTAGTTTAACTGTGCTGTGATATAATCTGCAGCATAGCAGTCAGTCAGAGTGACAAGACAGAGGAAAAGAATGAGAAGGACACACAATAGAGCTTTGCAGCATTGTGTGTTTTTGGATCGTGAAAGCTTATTGGATGATTATAGTGCAAAGTGTCTTATTGCACTCAAAAAGTCACAACATGATGCTGTATTTTTTAAACTAAAACCTTTATTCATATTTTAACATCATTTGAAAAGACCAGCTGCCCTTTACACTGTGTCAAAATGCTATAAAAAAACAGACCACAAGAAACGGTCCAAAATGACAAGGAGCAGAATATTTTTACATTATGTTAGATTGAAATGTTTACGTAAAAGAGGAGATATTTTTTTTGTCTGAATTTGAAGAAAAGTTATTATTTTACATACAGTTCTGTTTTCCATTTTTATTATTGACAATGAAACATACTGAAAAAGTCAGAAGTAACAGCCCAAATATGCCGCTACAAATACAATTCATAGTTTAACTGTAATTAAACAATTAATATGGAAATTCCACTCATACATGGAATAGTATACCCAAAAAACACTCCACTTCTAAGAGTTAAAGTTTCCAGAATGCACAGGCACATTTTCACTTAAAAGCCCTGGATTACCTTGTGCTTCATTCATATTCACACTGAGTACAATGATATTTTCCAGTCTGCCCTAAGGGCCAAGCATGTGCACCTGTAATTTCAATTCAAATACATCCACATCCATATATCATTCTCTAAGGCAGCCAGGGAAGTTGTCCAGGTTTTAATTTCAGTATCACAGGGGAAACAGCAGAAATAAACGGCCCATTCATTACTATTGTAATGAAGAGGACCTTTTGTATTTGGCCAAACTAAGCACTCTCACTTTTGTGTGCAAAACTACTCCAAAAACAAAAATATGGAAAACCCAGCTGTGAATTTATGTGCAAATGTCTTTTAAACTAATTAGAACAAATTTCACAAATCAAACAACAAAACACTGTAGGTTTCTTCAAACTAACTCGAGTTTAATGAGATCGGGCCTCGTTTACCAAGTATTCTTAAGAAGAAATGTCTTCTTAAGACCCACTAATGTAGTTTTCACAAAGATTCTGGCATTCACCAAGGTTTTCTTATTTGGGATTTGTTCTTAGGTAAGAACAGAATCTACATACACTCAAGAGCACAAAGGTGTGAACAATTCTGTGGTTTAAGAACACGTCATGAATCTGCTGTAGACTTTTTCTTAGGACCTTTCTCGAGACCAAAATTAAGAAAAAATTAGGAAGACAATGGTGAAGTAGGCCTATTGAGAGTATTGTAAAATTTTAATTGCAAGTCAGTTCAGTTAGTTTCTTCTGACAGCTTTTGTGACAAAATGTAAAACGACCAAAGCTGCAGTTACACCTAGTATTTTTCTTCCTTGAAAATCAAATTTGTTTAAGATGAATTTAAATTTGAATAGCCTCACTCTGGTCTTGTAAATGCAGTGAGCGGATCATACTTGGCATACTTGGTAATTAAATTATAATCTGGGAATTGTAAGGCTATTTTATAATCCTGTAATCATTTTAGATTATGAAATCTGGTGGAGAGAAGAGATAATTACTTTCCATAGCAATGAAAAGCATTATGGAGCACCTTTTAAACAGACTGGGATTGAAAAGGGGACGGTGAAGAGATAAGAGAGAAATAAAGAGAGAGAAAGGCAATGCAAGTGGAAACAAAGGCCCAAGGACAGAATCCATGTGTGTGTGTGTGTGTGTGTGTATGTTTGTGTGTATGTTGGAGAGAGAGAGAGAGAGAGAGAGAGAGAGAGAGAGAGAGAGAAAGAGAAAGAGAAAGGCCTGTGAATTCCCTCTGTCATATCTCAACCACTAATCACTCACATTCTGACCTCTCTCTCTCTCTCTCTCTCTCTCTCTTTCTCTCTCACTCACTCTGTCCTTCTCTCTCATGTTCTCAAGATTGATCGCCCTGTGTATTTTTTTAAAACCCTTCTCTTGTCCCCATGGTAACCGGCAGGGGGAACATAATATTAGTCTAATGTGCTGTCTTATCGCTCCCCTGGCTCAGAGCCAGGCACATCCTCAGAGCTCCCCCCTCTGATTGTAATTCAATTAGAAATGTACATCTCTTTCTCCCACAAACACATAGTCAGTGCTAAGAGTTCCCCTCACTTTGAGTGTTTTTTTGGTGTATAAACTTATTATACTAGTTATCAATAGGTCTTCTGGATAGGTCTTCTTAGTTTGTGCTCTGCTGGTCAGCAGACGATCTTTCAGGGCAGTAATACGGGTCCCATTAGTAGCTCACATATTCATTAGGAGTAGATTATCTGTGAAGTGTGCATGCAATATGCATACCGCAGAGTCAGTTTTCCAGACAGAGATTAAGCTTAATTGTTCTGTAAAACTGATTGACAGAGTAATTTAGGCTGAGACTAGGCTTAATCTCTCTATTGCTGTGTAATCTCTTCTTTACTGTTGTAAGTGCAACCAGAAGACATTATTTCTGAGACTTTTTTCAGTATAGCTAATATGGAAAAATGTAAAGCATCATAATACTTGAAGGTGTTTTCACAATAAAAAAGTAAGAAATAACAGAAGGAAAAATCAATCAATTGGTAAAAATAAATTGATAAAAAAGTTATACCATAATGGGATCAGCTACTTATAGTCCATTTTATTTTAGTATATATTATAGTCATTGTTTCCAGACTCTGTAATTGGTTATAATCTGTTTTATGGTACATGCAGTGGTTCAGTGTTATAGAAGTACTGGTGATACTCATGATATACTCAGAAAAGTGTACTATGACATTATTTATCTCTATAATGATAACATACCTTCATATTGCCGACCCCTAGCTTAGTACTAACCCACTTTGTCTGTACTTTTTGATGCACTGCTATAATATTTTTTTTTTTTAAAAAAGCGTATCACTGCTGGCTGCTTTGTTTTTTACTTTTTTTACTTTTGGTTTCACTGAGTTCATAAACTTTTTTTACACTTCACACGTAAAGCGCTGCAATTCAAAGACAACAGAAGGCAGCATACTATCGCTAACTATCTCGCCCCATTTTTAAATCCGTTTCTTGTCTAATGAACAATTTTTCTGCACCCATCTGGGTTGGATGGCGGCGGTGGGTGCTATCGGATGACCCCTGTGCTGATCAGAGCCATGTGTCCCCCCGCAGCCCAGCCCAGTCCAATCGAGCGCTGCACACAGCCCAGATCTGCCTTAATCTCATTATCCAGAGATGTTGACTTACTCCAAATGGGAAATATCTCCCCTCCACTGTAACCCCATACTCTGCCCCCCTGGCCACCAGAGAGCGAGAGGGAGAGAGAGTCAGAGAGTGAGTAAGAGAGAGAGTGAGAGAGAAAGAGAGAGAGAGAGAGAGTGAGAGAGAAAGAGAGAGAGAGAGAGAGAGTGTGTCAGAGACAGACAAAGAGAGAGAGAGAGTCAGAGAGAGATGGAGGGAGAGACAGAGAAAGAGAGACGGAGAGAGAGTAAAAGGTGGAAAGTGCAGACAGTTAGTGAGGGGGTGTTTATACATTTGTGTTGCATACATACATATATATATATATATATATATATATATATATATATAATGTTAAAATAATAATTATATTATTATATGTATGTATTCTTCCAATAATCATGAAATTGTACTCACTGAAAAGGATGGCTGCAGTGTTTAAATGATGTAGAAAAAATAGAGATATTTTATGGAGAGTAATGACTAATATTAGAATAAATACAAATAACAATGTTTAACTGCCTGTTTGTTTTAATTTAGTATAATGTTATATTGTGGTTTTACAAGCTGAAACATGTTTACTGCCAAGATAAATAGTTTAAAACACTTTGTATAGGTGCATATGGGACGCATGTAAATGTATGACTCTACGTTCTGAGACTGTGTGTGTGTGTGTGTGTGTGTATGTATGTATACCTCTACTGCTGTACAGTGAGCTCTGCTCCAAGGTTGATGAGGCTAAATTGATTTCGCGGTGGGCTGGGAGTTTCAGACCTAAATACTGCATGAGCTGCTGCTGTCCTCATGGGTCGGCTATCAGGCCATTACACACATACGCACACACACACACACACACACACACATGCAGTCAGGCATGCATACAACACTTCAGAATTTTCCATAATTGTCTATGCACAAAGAAATGCCATGCGTGTTAATATGGTATAACAAACAGTGATGTTACATTGTAATATCAGTGTGTTCATGTGTGTGTATGTGTAGGAGAGAATGTGTTTTGTTTTTGGGGAATCTGAGCTCAGAGAGGAAGTTCAGTTGGGAATACTCATTCAACTCCAAACATGACATCACACACAGGGCCATGTAACACCACACACGAGTCAACATCTCCTCACAGCAAGACATACTCACACACACGCACAGGTTTGCACAATCACTGCTGCGACGCTTTCTCCAGCATCTGTCACGTACACTGTTTTTGTGTGCACGCCTGGCGCCGCGTGTCTGCATGTGTGTATGTGTGTGTGCTTCAGGGTGCGAGTGGTGTTTTTGCTCATCTCTGCGCTGGCTCGGTCTGGCTTGTTTGTAGAAATGAAAGCCTGTGCGTTTCTGTGGAGAGGGAAGCCCAAACAGACTCTTATCTGTGGGAGTAAAAAGCCTGTATGTCTGTGTGTGTCTGTGCCAACTGTATAACGTCAGGCTGGAGGCAGATCGAGTTTCAACTCTTCTCCGCTCACAAACTATCTCTGCTCTGAGGGGCTTCGTTCTTTAACAGC